TTGTCTTGTCACCCTCTTTCACCATCTCTACATAAGCAATTCTTTTGTAAGCACACTTCAATTGTTGTAATCTAATCTATCTCCCTCACACACACCTTCTCTTGCACAGATTGTCCAACATAAAAAACAGTTAACAGCCAACACCACAATGGTAATGAATGTTAATTTGATTTATTTATCATTATTTCGTTTATAGATACATATTGCAACTGGTACCGAAAGAAAAGGGGAGAAAGTAGAGATAGTGTCTGTGGGTGTGTGTGTGTGTGTGTGTGTGTGCTCTGGCCCCAACTTGACAACGTACGTGATGAAATAGAGCAACAGAGCAGTTTAGTGTGTGGTAGTTGTAGTAGTAATTGGGGTAATAGTTGAAGAAGAAGGAGAAGATAAAGAAATGAACGACAAGAGAGATCGAAGAAAGTGGTTGAAGAGGTGTGTGTGTGTGTGTGTGTGATGAAGAGACATGTGTTCAAAGTGTTAAAAAGTTTGAGGGAAAAAGAGTGTAGTTGATGAAGTGAAATAGTGAGGAGGTGTAGTGATAATAAATATTCAGGATAATGGTCAAAGAAAGAAGAAGAGGAAGATGAAACAAAGGAAAAGAGAATTGCAAGATGATTGCCAAATGCTACCAGGGGAGTTTGTGTGTGTGTTTGGTATGGTGGTTTCAGTGGGCGTGTATGTGCGTGCGTCTATGTACAAAACTTGAAGGTGAGATAAAGCAAGGTTGCGCTTTTCCTTCGTGATTTACAAATCAAATGCTTGTGCTGGTGAGAGCGACAGTGCTGCTGCTGCTGCTGCTGCATCAAATCAGCGATTCTATCAAAAAGCTTTTGTTGGCAAGGACTAGGTGACTTTGATTTTTTTCGTGAAGTGGAGTTCTGGTGTACAACAGCGGACGCGAGAAGTGTATACACTTAACAAAGTAACTCTGATCTGCAACGTGATATCCGCAACGGCCGTCTAATGCGTCAACTAATAAATCTATATGATCAGGCTAATTTGGTGAGAGGAAGAGGAAGAAGAGGAAGGGAATATTTTGATATACCTTTCCGCAGTAGCAGAAAACCACCTTACGAACTGGTGGTGGTGGTCACCATTGTGCCATTGGAGGTAGCACTGGAGAGACCACCACCAGCCGTTTCTTCCTCTGCCGTTGACTCACTGCTGCAGGTCNATTTGGTGAGAGGAAGAGGAAGAAGAGGAAGGGAATATTTTGATATACCTTTCCGCAGTAGCAGAAAACCACCTTACGAACTGGTGGTGGTGGTCACCATTGTGCCATTGGAGGTAGCACTGGAGAGACCACCACCAGCCGTTTCTTCCTCCGCCGTTTTGCTGCTGCAGGTAAGCAACGATTTGGTCTGCTCACTATTATGGTCATCATCTTCTTCGTCCTCCTCCTTTTGATTTTCAGCAGCAATAACCTCCGTGGAGTTAGTAGACTTGGACTGCTGCTGCTGCTGCTGCTGTTCCTCCATTGCCGCCTGCAGGTGAAGCTTGATATGTTGCTGCAGCAGCAGCTGTTGCTGATGCTGCAGTTGCTCAGGCAGCGGCGGAAAACAGTTCTGTCCCTCGGCGGCCATCTTCAGCGACGCCAACTCCTCCAACGGGTGCAAACGGCTCGCTCCAGCTGAAACTTGCTCACTGCCTGACCAGTGTCCGTTTTCTGCTTCTGCCTCCTCTTCTTCGGGTTCATTATTATCGTGATTTCCTGCTGCTGCTGAGGTCGGGGCGCCCGGCTCAGAGTGAGCTCGACTTTGACTGTGGTGATCATTTTCCTCGTTATCATCATCATCATCGTCACCTTCTTCCAAATCGCCCTCACTGCGAGCTCGAGAGCCGAAGAAGCTTCGGTGGTTATTGTGGTGATTGAGACTGTTGTTGTTGTTGGTGGGAGTGGAGGTGGTGGTCATCTCGGAGAGCTCAATCTCCGGCTCGCAAAGCAGTCGCTGAGTGCTCTCCTCCTCATTTCTATGGTCATCGTCATCGTCATCGTCTCCAAGTGTGCCATTACTTTTGCCAGCACCTTTTTCCTCAGCACCCTCCTCACCATTGCTGGACACTGTGCTGCTGTTTCGCCCATCCTCCTCCTCCTCCTCCCCGCCCTTCTCCGATTGAGTGCTGGTCATTGAGCCGCAGTTTGACAGAGCGGAACTGTGCCCCAACAGTTGAAACTGCGCCGCCTGTGAGTGAGGTGACAGCTGCTGCTGCTGCTGTNATTGAGTGCTGGTCATTGAGCCGCAGTTTGACAGAGCGGAACTGTGCCCCAACAGTTGAAACTGCGCCGCCTGTGAGTGAGGCGACAGCTGCTGCTGCTGATGATTGGCGGACATCATCTTCATCAGCATCATCTGCTGCATTGCCAGCTGACTGGCTTCAGGAGAGCCTGAGATGATAAAGATGAGATTAACTTTTCAGCAAACAAACATTGAAAACCCCTTTCTTAAACTACTTACCATTGAGAAAGTTGGGCAGATGCTGCGGAAGGTAGGGAAAGAAGAGGTGGTCAGAGGAGTGGCCACCGCTGGAGTGGGCGCCTGGACTTCCACCCCCTGCCGTCCCCTGCTCTGACTGAGATGAAGAGAGGTTTGGATGAACATTGGGGTTGCTGTGGTGGCCAACAATAATGCCGGCGGCGTTTGTCAGAAAAGAGGAAGAGGAAGAGGAAGCGGAAGAAGAGGCGGGAACTCCACCTGGCGGGGAGATGTGCAGACTGGGCAGGTCGATGGACATTCGCCGGCCCCGTCGAGAGGGATTGTTGTTCCACATGTGCGTGCCCATGTGTACCTGTGGCAAAGCATTTTATATTTATGATTAGCTAAAGAAAAAAATCAAGAAAAAGCCCCTCAAACACTTTACCTTCAGGTTGCCCTTGGTGGTGAAGGCCCGGCCGCAGATGGTGCACTTGAAGGGCTTGTCGCCGGTGTGCGTTCGATTGTGAATCTAGTAGAAAAATTAAAAAAACAAATGTTATCACCAAAACTAATGTCTCTCCTTATCAACTTTTTTTCCTACCTGAAGCGCCGACCCGCTGGAGAAGGGCTTGTTGCAGATGAAGCACATGTGCTTGTTATTACCGCTCGAACCAGTGGAACCAGAGGCAGCAGAACCAGAGGCAACGGCGGAACCGGAAGCAGCGGCGGAACTGGAGCGTTCAACCGGCGCTCGAGAGGGAGGCTGAGAAGAGGAGGAGGTGTTGCTGCTGCTGTGCTGAGTGCTGTCAGCGGTGGTGGGCGGCGAGTGGGCGGCAAGGCCAAGGCTTCCACTACCACCATTATTACCCGAATTGGCCACCGCAGCCGCCAAGCTGAGGGCCACCATCTTATCAGTGGAGTCGTGGGAGTTGCTCGAATTGTGGCACGAGTGCCCGTTGGGCGTCTGCGGACTGGACACTCGGCTGCTGCAGTTGGAGTTGTTCGAGGAGGTGGTGGTGGTGGTGGTGGCCGTGTTTGCGGCATTACCCTGCGGCCTACTGCGCAGTATCTTGCTGATGCTGCTGCTGGTCAGAAAGTTGCCCAGCGTGGTGTTCGCGGGCGAGGAGACGGTGCTGTACAGATCGGGCGGGAGGTCGCGAATCTTGTGCGTCAGCATGTGCTGCTTCATGTTGCCCTTGGTGGAGAAGCCCCGGTCGCAGACCTCGCACTTGAAGGGGCGCTCCTTGGTGTGCGAGCGGATGTGAATCTCCAGCGCGGAGTAGCAGGCGAAGGTCTTGCAGCAGATGCGACAGGTGGTGTTCGGGCGGCCGGTCGGGTGGAAGCCGGCCGGAAATCCACCGGGTCCTCCGCCCACCATTCCAAAGGGAGAGGTGGCCGCTGAATGGCTGCTGCAGGAAAGTCCATCGCCGTTGTTACTAGCCAAAGAAGACTGTGAATTGGAGTCGGCCTGAGGGCTGAAGGTGCTGCCGCCGCCGCCGCCGCCGCCGCAGTTGCCGCCACTGCCTTTGGGAGTCAAATCGAGAGCGCTTGAACAGCTGCCAGCAGCAGAGTTGGTGGTAGACACGAACAAGGCCGCCGATTTCGATTGATCTCCAGAGGTCATTGCCGCCATCGCTGCTGCTGCTGCTGCTGCTGCGCCGCCGCCGCCATTGCCGCGTGGGCTCACCTGAGAGATGGACTTCAGGACGTGGTTCTCCAGGGCGCTCAGGGTGCTCAGCGGGTGGTGGTGGTGGTGGTGCTGAAGGGACGACGGCGTTGGTCCTTCGTCCTCGGAGGAGGAGGAGGTGCTGTGGCTCGGCTTGATCACCTGGTTCCCCTCGGGGCTGCTGCTGACGCTGCTGCTGAGGCTCGCAAAGCTGAATCCTTTCTTCTTTGGCTTCGGAGGTGTCTGCGGCTGCATCAGCGGCAAAGGCTGCTCCTGTTTCACCTCCTCCTCCTCAGTGTCGCTGGCAATGGTGGTGGTGTTGTTGTTGTCAGCGTTCGAATTGGTTGGCTGCTGCTGCGGTTGAGGTTCAGAGTCGTCTTTCACCTCTGAACTAGGATCGGCGTCGTTGTTCTCCTCCTCATCGTTTTCGTCATCGTCGGCAGAATGATTCTCCTGTTTTACCACCGAATGGGAGGATTTCTTTTGCTTGCTTTTGGTGGGAGTTACTGTAGGAGTCGTCGTCAGGTCACTTGCCTGCTCCTCATCTGCTTCTGCATCGTCCTCTTCCTCGTGCTCTTCATCTTCGTCCCCATCATTTTCAGCCTTGAAACTTCCACTGAAACTGTGAGTCCCAAGTCTTTTCTCACTCGTTTCTCCATCATCAGTAGAGTTATCATCTGCCGTTGCTGCTGCTGCCTGATCCTCACTTCCCACTGAGTGCTGCTGCTGGTGCAGCAGTGCAGCGGCCGCTGCAGCTGCGGAAAGCTGTGGAAAACCCGGCGCAAAAATGGGCGATTTTCCAAACTGCTGCTGCTGCTGTTGCTGCTGATGGTGATGGGCGGCGGCTGCGGCCGCCGCCGCTGCAGCCATCTCCGGCAACGACATTGTCGGCGGAAAGAGCGAGTGCGGGGCGGAAAGACCGGGCGGAAGGGCCGAAGCAAAGGGTGATCCAGCTCCAGGTCCTCCTCCTCCTGCTGCTCCGAGGTGCTGGGCAAAGTTGGCGGGCAGGAAGGCTCCCCGTGGAAAGCCACCGGGAACCGACACCGCCGCCACCAGGTGGGGATTGTTCTTGTTCAGCTCGGCGAGCAGCTCGGGCGTCAGGGCGTCAGGACCGCCGAGGAGGGCGGCGGCCGCGGCGGCGGAGGCGCCCGTATCGCCGGTGTGCGTGCGAATGTGCTGCTGGAGGACCTGGAGGAAGGTTAATTAAATGATAAAAAAAATATTAATATCTTAAAAACAAAATCTAGCATTCCCCATCACTTACCAGGGCATTGGTGAACTGCTTGTGGCAGATGGGGCACTGGTGCATCATCCGCAGCGGCGGCTTCACCCGGTGCACGCCCATGTGCGTCTTCAGGTTGCCCTTGGTGGTGAAGGCGCGGCCGCAAATTTTGCACTTGAACGGTCGCTCGCCGGTGTGCGTCCGGTAGTGCATCTGCAGGGCGCTCTTGCAGCTCAGAACCCGCTTGCAGAAGAAGCACTGGTTGGGGTCCTTCAGCTTGTGCTCGATGTTGTCGACGAGCGCCTGCAGCTTGACCGTCTCCGAGGCCTTCTGCACCTCCATCAGCGTCTCCCAGGTGCTGTCGGTGCTGCCCGGCTTCGGCAGCAGCGACTGGTAGAAGATGGGGTCCTTGCCGAGGGCCGGGTCGCCGCCGCCACCAAGTTCAGAGCAGCTGTTCTGGTCACTGGTTTCGCTTCGAGCCACATTTGAAGTGGCAGAAGTTGTGGTGGTCGTGGTAGTGGCGGNCTTGACCGTCTCCGAGGCCTTCTGCACCTCCATCAGCGTCTCCCAGGTGCTGTCGGTGCTGCCTGGCTTCGGCAGCAGCGACTGGTAGAAGATGGGGTCCTTGCCGAGGGCCGGGTCACCACCAAGTTCTGAACAGCTGTTCTGGTCACTGGTTTCGCTGCGAGCGATNGGGCCAGCCAGACAGGAGGTAACCGCGGCGCTAAAGTCCATGCCGAAGGGTAGTCCCATTAGGTGGGAAAAAGAAGGAGGTTGTGGGTGCTGATGCTGTGGGAATTGTGGTGGTCCAAGGTGGGGAGAACCTGGTGGTGGTGGANCGTGGTAGTGGCGGGGCCAGCCAGACAGGAGGTAACCGCGGCGCTAAAGTCCATGCCGAAGGGCAGTCCCATTAGGTGGGAAAAAGAAGGAGGTGGTGGGTGTTGATGTGGGAATTGTGGTGGTCCAAAGTGGGGAGAACCTGGTGGTGGTGGTNTCCTTGCCGAGGGCCGGGTCGCCGCCGCCACCAAGTTCAGAGCAGCTGTTCTGGTCACTGGTTTCGCTTCGAGCCACATTTGAAGTGGCAGAAGTTGTGGTGGTCGTGGTAGTGGCGGGGCCAGCCAGACAGGAGGTAACCGCGGCGCTAAAGTCCATGCCGAAGGGTAGTCCCATTAGGTGGGAAAAAGAAGGAGGTTGTGGGTGCTGATGCTGTGGGAATTGTGGTGGTCCAAGGTGGGGAGAACCTGGTGGTGGTGGAGGAAAACCAAGCAGAGGGTGAATTGATTGTGAAAGGTGAGGAAAGGCAGAGAGAAGGGGAAGATTCTCTTTTCCGAGGAGGTCCCTTTGCTCAGTCACATTCATACCGTACTGCAGAAGACTCTGTTCCTCATCGCTATCTCCCTCTTCATTGTTGTCGTCATCATCATCATCAGAAGAAGAAGAAGGAGCAGAGGCGTTTTCGTCGTCTTTTCCTCCTTCTCCTTCTTCTCCATTTTCTCCCCTTTTGCCGGCATCAGTACCTTCACTCTGGTGGCGAGTGGTCTTTCTCCTGTTCCTCTTTCGGGAGTTTGCCGATGACCTTCGTTTTCCAACGTTATCTCGCTTTCGCTTCTTTGGTTCGCTGCTGGTGCTGGCCGCCTTTTCCAACATTAACATCCGCTTATCATGGCTGTCCAGGTCGTCAAAGCTGTGCAGGAAGTTGTTTTCCGCCGCCGCCGTCTCTTTAGCCTGCAACTCGCCCGTGGATGCTCTTCGCTTTCGAAGGTTCAGCACTCCGCCGTCCTCGCTGTTTCCATCAAGGTCAGTGTCAGAAGAGGAGGAGGAAGAGGAAGCGGCATCAGAGTGATCCTTATCGTTCGTCTTTTGCTTTTTGCTCATGTTTTGATCCATGTTCGCGGCGGCAGCCGCAGCTGCTGCCATCTGCTGGAGCACCCTCTTGTGGTACCGCCTGAGGGCGTCACCTTCGTCACCCTCATCATCGTCGTCGTCCTCATCATCATCGCCTTCATTATTGTCATCCTCATTGTCTTCATCGGAGTGGTGATCACGATCGCTGCCATCCGAAGTGTTGTTGTGCTGCTGATGCTGCTGGTGGTGGTGGTGATTACCGCCAAGCTGACTGTTCAGGTAAAAGTCGGAGAAGGAGAAGTTTCCACTGCTTCGAGGCAACGAAGAAGGAGGAAGAGTAGGAGGAAGAGGAAGAGG